CCTGCTGTGCCACAACACTACCTCTAAAAGACTGAAAGAAATTAAAGAAGACATAGGCGAGGGCATTGTAGCTCAGTGTTAACCCATAGCTTAGAATGCCTGCATCCCTTAGCAGAATGCCAGCTGGAGTCCTACCTACTCTGGTTCTGATCCAACTTCCTGCAGTGGACCAGGGAAACAGCAGGTGACACCTCAAATACGCGAGTGCCTGCCACCCATATGAGAGACCCTGTGGAGTTTCTGGTTCCTGGCTTCAGCCTAGCTCAACCCCAGGTGTTAAAACCATTTGGGGGGGGGGGGGGCGCTTTGGTGTAGCAAGTAAAGCCACCACCTGCAGTGCTGGCATCCCATATCTGTGCCGGTTTGAGTCCCAGCTGCTGCACTTCCTTTCTAGCTCTCTGCTATGGCCTGGGAAAGCAGTGGAAGATGGCCCAAGTCTTTGGACCTCTACACCTGCATGGAAGACCTGGAAGAAGCTCCTGGCTCCTGGCTTTGGATTGGCGCAGCTCCAGCCATTGCAGCCAGTTGGGGAGTGAACCAGCGGATGGAAGACCTCTCTCTCTTTCTCTGTGTAACTCTGCCTTTCAAATAAATAAATAAATCTTAAAAAAAAAAAAAAATTTGGGGAGTGACCCAGCAGTCAGTAGATCTCTCTTTGTCACTCTGCCTTTCAAATCAATAAATAAATCTTTTTTTTTACTATAAATGAATCTTTAAAAAAATAAAGAAGACTTAAACAAGTGGGAAGACATATGGTGTCCATGGATGGAACACTATTTTTTAAAGATTTATTTATTTAATTGAAAGAATTACAAAGGAAACCCAGAAACAGAGAAAGAGATCTTCCATCTGCTGGTTCATTGCCCAAATTGGCTATAATGACCGGGGCTATGCCACGCTGAAACCAGGAGCCAGCAGCTTCTTCTGGGTCTCCCACATGGGTATAGGGGCCCACATACTTGGGCCATCTTCTGCTGCTTTCCCAAGTGCATTAGCAGGGAGTGGGATTGGAAGTGGAACTGCCAGGACTCAAACCAGCACCCATATGGGATGTTGGATGATGCAGGCGGAGGCTTAAGCTTCTATGCCACAGCACCGGCCCCATATTGGAACACTTAATATTGTTAACTCATTTTATCTGCAAAATTCATTGCGATTCTTATCAAAATCCTAGCAGGTTATTTTGCAGAAGAAAACAAATTCTAATACTCAGAGATGAGACTCAGAATAATCCAAACAGTCTTGATTGGAAAATACCAAAATTGGAGGACTCACCATTCTTTTTTTTAAAAAGGTTTATTCATTTATTCAAAGGCAGAACGATAGAGAGATAGAGAGAGAGAGAGAGAGAGAGCGAGAGAGAGAGAGCGAGCTTCAGTCTACTGGTGTACTCCCCAAGTGGTTGTAACAGTCAGGTCTGGGCCAGGCTGAAAGCAGGACCAGGAACTCCATCCTGGACTCCCACATGAGTGACAGGGGCCCAAGTACTTGGGCCATATTCTTCTGCCTTCCCAGGCACATTAGTTGTAAGATGGATCAGAAGCAGAGCAACCAGGACTTGAACACACTCTCCGTACAGTGACTTAACCTTGCTGTGTACCACATCCCATGAAGACTCACCTTTCTTGATTAAAAGCTTATTGCAGGGGCAGGCGTTTGGCCGTTAAGACATTGCTTGGGGCATCCATATCCTGTGTTGGAGTGGCTGGGTTTGAGTCCTGGTTTTGCTGATTCCAGCTTCCTACTCATGTGCACCCTAGGAATCAGCCAGTGATGGCTTAAGTAGTTGGGTCGTTACTACTCATGTGGGGGACCTGGATTGACTTCCTAGCTCCTGGCTTCAGCATGGCCTAGCCTGAACTGTTGGGGGCATTTCAGGAGTAAACTAGTGGAAGATCTGTCACTGCCTTCCACTCCCTTCCTTCTTCCCCTCTCCCCCTACTCCGCCTTACAAATAAATAATATAAATAATTAAACACTATGAGAGTCTGCTTTGTGGTGCAGTGGGTTAAATTGCTGCTTGTAATGCTGGCACTTGAGTCCTGGCTCCTCTATTTCCAATCCAACTTCCTACTAGGAAGACAGCAGAAGGTAGGTTAGGTACCTGGGCCCCTGCCTCCCATGTGGGAGACCAGGATGGAGTTTCTGGCTTCTGGCATTGGCCTAACCCAGACATGGTTGTTGAGAACATTTGGGGAGTAAACCAGAAGGTAGAAGATCTCTGTATCTCTGCCTTTCAAATAAATCTGTACAAAAATATTACAGGGGCTGGTGCCGGGTCATAGAAGGTTAAGCCTCTGCCTACAGTGTCAGCGCTGGGTTAAGTCCTCACTGTTGCACTTCTGATCTGGTTCCCTGGTGATGCACCTAGGAAGGCAGTGGAAAATGGTCAAGTAGTTGGGCCCTGCAACCACATGGGAGACCCAGAAGAAGCTCCTGGCTCCTAGCTGCAGCCTGGCCCAGCCCTGACCGTTGTGGCTGTTTGGGGAGTGAACCAGCAGGTGGGAGATTCTCTCTCTCTCTCTCTCTCTCTCTTTATTTTTCCCCTATCTCTCCCCTCTCTGTATTTCTGCCTTTCCAAAAAAAAAAAAAAAAAAAAAATTACAAAGCTACAATAAGGAGGATGTTATGGTACTGGCATAAGGATGGACATACAGATTCTTGGCATGAAATTGACAATCCAGAAATAAACTCTTAGATTTATTTTTTTTAAAGATTTATTTTAGTTATTTGAAAGAGTTACAGAGAGAGTTAGAGCCAGAGAGAGAGAGAGAGGGAGGGAGAAAGGGAGGAAGGGAGTCTTCCATCCACTGGTTCACTCCCCAAATGACCACAACGGCTAGAGCTAAGTGTATCCGAAGCCAGGAGCCAGGAGTTTCTTCCAGGTCTCCCACGCAGGTGTGGGGGCCCAAGGACTTGGGCCATCTTCCATTGCTTTCCCAGGCCATAGCAGAGAGCTGAATTGGAAGAGGAGCATCTGGGACTAGAACTGGTGCCCCTTTGGGATGCTGGTGCCACAGGTGGAGGCTTAGCCTACTAATCCCCATTTTATAGATTTATAAATAGAAACTAGAGGCCGGTGCTGTGACTTCATGGGTAAAGCTGCTGCCTGTGATACCTACATTCCATGTGGGCACTGGTTCAAGATCTGGCCTCTACTTCCAATCCAGCTGTCTGCTTATGTGCCTGGGAAAGCAGCAGAAGATGGCCCAAGTACCTGGGCCCCCGCAACCACGTGGGAGACTTGGAGGAAGCTCCTGACTCTTGATTTTGACCTGACCCAGCCCTGGCCATTGTGGCCATTTGGGGAGTGAACCAGTGGATGGAAGACCTCTCTCACTCTCTGTCTAACTCTCTCTGTGTAACTCTTTACTTTAAAATAAGTAAGTCTTTAAAAAAATGAAACTAGTTAAGGAATTTAAGATTCTAGTTAAAGATTATTAGACTAGTATTTAAATTCCAGAAACTCAGTTTTTATTCACTACACTGAGTATAATTTTTTCTTTTTTTTTTCTTTTCTTTTTTTTTTTTTTTTTTATTTTTTGACAGGCAGAGTGGACAGTGAGAGAGAGAGACAGAGAGAAAGGTCTTCCTTTGCCGTTGGTTCACCCTCCCCAATGGCCGCCGAGGCCGGCGCGCTGCGGCCGGCGCACCGCGCTGATCCGATGGCAGGAGCCAGGTGCTTCTCCCGGTCTCCCATGGGGTGCAGGGCCCAAGCACTTGGGCCATCCTCCACTGCACTCCCTGGCCACAACAGAGAGCTGGCCTGGAAGAGGGGCAATCGGGAAAGAATCCGGAGCCCCGACCGGGACTAGAACCCGGTGTGCCGGCGCCGCTAGGCGGAGGATTAGCCTAGTAAGCCGTGGCGCTGGCCAATTTTTTTCTTTTTTAAGATTTATTTATTTGAAAAACAGCAGAGAGGTCTCCCATCTGCTGGTTCATTCCCCAGATGGCTGCAATGGCTGGAGCTGGGCCAATACAAAACCAGGAGCCAGGAGATTCTTCTGTGTCTCCCCTATGGGTGCAGAGGCCCAGGGACTTGGGCCATCTTCCACTGTTTTCCCAAGCAGAGAGCTGGATCTGAAGAGAAGCAGCCAGGACATAAACTGGCACCCATATGGGATGCCAGTGCCACAGTCAGAGGCTTAGCCTACTATGCCACAACACCAGCCTCATAAATACATCTTTAAAAAAAATGGTATTGATTTATTTGAAAGGCAAAGAGAGATTTCTTATCTGCTAGTTCACTTCCCAAAAGCTTGCAGCAGCTGTAGCTGCATTAGGCTGAAGCCAGAAGCCTGGAACTCAATCTGGATCTTTAACGTGGGTGTCAGGGACCCAGCCACATGAGCCCAGGGGTCACATCAGCAGGAAACTGGAATTAGAGCCATAGCCAGGCATTCAGCCTGGACCCTCAGAAGTAGAATACAGGGTGTCCCAAGTGTTGTCCTTGCCACTGTGCCAAGCCTGCCCCTGCCCTGCCCCTGCCTTTAAAAATTTTGTTTATTTGTGAATACTATTTTTATTTTTATTTTTTTTTTTTAATTTTTTTTTTATTTCTTTTATTTTTTTGACAGGCAGAGTGGACAGTGAAAGAGAGAGACAGAGAGAAAGGTCTTCCTTTTGCCGTTGGTTCACCCTCCAATGGCCGCCGCGGCCGGCGCGCTGCGCTGATCCGATGGCAGGAGCCAGGAGCCAGGTGCTTTTCCTGGTCTCCCATGGGGTGCAGGGCCCAAGCACCTGGGCCATCCTCCACTGCACTCCCTGGCCACAGCAGAGGGCTGGCCTGGAAGAGGGGCAACCGGGACAGAATCCGGCGCCCCGACCGGGACTAGAACCCGGTGTGCCGGCGCCGCTAGGCGGAGGATTAGCCTAGTGAGCCGCGGCGCCGGCCTGTGAATACTATTTTAAACCTATTCCAATTGTTATACAGCTGTTTGTATGGATGCTTCATTTCACTGGGTTGATAGCTCTGTGCACCGTGTCTGTTTTTCTCTCAGGTCCATTAATGAGATGAAACGGTTGGAGGAAATGTCAAATGTATTTCAGAGTTCTGCAGTCGAGCGCCACCCTCCGGAATCGAAATCCCAAACAAGCGGAAATGAAGATTCGAAAGACAAAGAAGAGCAACCCTGGGAGATGGTGATGGATAAGAAACATTTTAAGCTGTGGCGCCGCCCAATTGCAGGCACGCACCTTTACCAGTACCGAGGTGAGCCTGGCGTGACTGCCTTTCAAGTGTGTTCCACGGTGGCCCCGGCTCATAGGACATCTGTTGCTCATACTTCTGGCTTCTCTAAACTGTTCTCTTTGTTGTTTCTCTTTCCCCAGAAGACAGACGTCACTGTGTCTTCCTTGCTATTGATAATCTCTTAATCTCTTATTTTGCTGCCTCACTATAACCTGCAGTTTCTGAACCTGCCTGTAGGATCTGTCAGTCCTGAGAGCTGAACTGCAGTGAGGTGACAGGAATAGGTGGTCACAGGAGCGTGGCCAGCGTCCCTTCTTCTTTCTTGTCGTTCTAGTTTTCGGAACATACACAGATGTGACGCCCCGGCAATTCTTCAATGTTCAGGTGAGTTAATTTTTCTCTCCAAATTTGAACCTCCTGGCAAGCCGGTTACCGCTGTCATGTGAATAATTTCTCTGATTCAGGTGACGTTGACTTCAAGACGTCCTCTGTCTCCCAACCTATCTTCTTGCATCATGTACCTTCTGGGTAACCACATTTCATTATCTTTTCCATGGAATGAGACTAATTCTAGCCCCTTCATAGGACTGTTGGGAAGGTCAGACAGAGGAGTATATTTTAACATTTTACTAATGTTTATTGAAAACAAATTTTAATGCAAGAGAGTAACACGGAGACAGCTGTCATGTGCTGTTTCACTCATGTGGCCGTAAGAGGTAAAGCTGAAGCCAGGGACCAGAAACTCAGTCTTCCACATGGGTGGCAGGGACCCAACTATCCAAACCATCATTTGCTGTCCCCTCCTCCCGATCTGCCTGGGCAGGAGGCTGAAATTGGGAGCTAAACATCAAACTTAGGTACTCTGATGTGGGACACGAGTGTGTTACCCAGCCTCTAAGGACTAGACCAAATGCCTGCCCCTTCACTGCATGAGGTATTACTGGTTTTTTCCTGAACAGTTTGAGGGTAAGTTAATACATCATAGTCTTTTATTCCTAAATCCCTCAGTTTATATTACCTGAAACTAGACATAGTCTCTTAATGGTAACATTATCAAAGTTGTTTAATTGAACATTGATACATTACTTGTGTGAAATCTTTTCTTTGTATTCCAGTTTTATCCATTGGCCCAGTAGTATCTTTTATAGCATTTTCCTCTGGTAACAGATACCAATCTGGGTTATATTATTGGTCACATCTTTTTAACCGCTTTTGATCTGGAACATTTCCCTAGTGAAGGTATTTATTTAATAAAGATGAAAAGTGTCTGTTCAAAACTGCCTTCATCTTTGGAATAATGAGAAATGTTTAAAACAAAAGTGAAAAAGGGAAGTGGACACAGAGTTCTACAAAAATTTTTTTTTACTAGAGTTTTCATTTGTTTTTTCAGACTTTCAGTAACTAGTAAAAATAGTTGATTGTAACACCTGGTGGTAATATGCAAGTGTGCTTTCCCCTAAGCACTGAATTTCATCAGTTTGTATTGAATTTTTGTTGGTTTAGATGTTGGTCTTAATTTGAAGTCCCTCAGTTGCTAGTGATGCCAGAAACTTCAAAGAAAAATACACTACTTGGATTTTTTTATGTGAGGTGTCTGTTTAATACTTTTTAGAATTTTCTCACCCTTATGTTTGTATCACTATATAACTGTATTTTCCCCAGACGTGTCTATTACAATATTTTTTCTTACATACTTCTTTGGCTTGCCTTTTCTTTTTTAAGAATGACTTTGAATGTAGTGATACTAACCAATATGAAGGGACTTGAGAAGAATAACCAGATGTCAACAGCCCTGTTTTTCTCACTTTGGCACTGTTAGGTCAGATCACTTTGTTTGCGATCTTGATCTTGTCTTTTTCCTTTGCGCAGCTGGACACGGAGTACAGAAAAAAGTGGGATGCCCTGGTGATCAAGCTGGAGGTGATCGAGAGGGACGTGGTTAGTGGCTCTGAGGTTCTTCACTGGGTCACCCATTTTCCTGTGAGTGCTTTCACTTCTAGATTTACTTCTGTCAGGTCCTGTGATGCAGAACCCTAATCCTGCCTCTCTGTTTCTTTAGTATCCAATGTACTCACGGGATTACGTTTATGTTCGGCGGTACAGCGTAGATGAGGAAAACAACGTGATGGTGTTGGTGTCACGGTATGTGTGGCTACCTGTGGCTCTGGCCGAATTCCTCAGCCGTGCCCTTCTCCCTTATGTGTCTGTCAGTTTGCATGTTCTCAGGCCCTGGTGAGTCCCCCTAGGCTTCCGAGTGGCCAGCACCCATCTGTCCAGCCTTTGAAGATGAGGGGCTCTGTCTGAATTTTGAAGAGAGGTGAACTTTTCAACAGGAACAATTGTTAAATAGTTTCCACTGGTTCCTTAATGTTGGTAATTTTAAAAAGAAGTGTTGTCTTTGACACAAAGCCTAATGAACTATATGTTGCCAATACCAGAGGAACTCACTTCACTTTTAGAAGTTTGTGTGCGTTCATCTCTGTGACTCCTCTGTTCCGAGTACCTTTATAGTTGGAGCCAGCTCTTCAGGACTCTCTCTTCTCTGTTTCGTATCCAGATATCACTAAGAGTTTGCTTCCCCTTTCCCCCATCAGTGCTGTGGAGCACCCTAGTGTGCCAGAGTCTCCGGAATTTGTCAGGGTCAGGTCGTACGAATCCCAGATGGTTATCCGTCCCCACAAGTCATTTGATGAGGTGAGTTTTACTTCATCTAAGAGATAATGTGCTCTTAGCTTTACAGTTATCTCAAGGAGTGCCTTTTACTGCAACTGGGGGGAGGGTACGGTGTTAAAAGAGAGAGGTTCTCAAACTTGGTGTGTCAGAATCAAGTGGAACTTGTTAGAATATATTGCTGGGCCCTAACCTGTTTTTGATTCAGCAGGTCTAGGATGTGGCTTAGAAATTTGCTTTTAAAACAATCCTCAGGGGGCCAGTGCTCTCATGTAGTAGGTTAAACCACCCACCTGCAGTGCTGGCATCCTGCATGAGGTCTGGTTTGCATCCTGGCTGCTCCATTTCTGATCCAGTTCCCTGCTGATGTGCCTGAGAAAGTAGTGGAGAATGGCCCAAGTCCCTGAGCCCCTGCCACCCACCTGGGAGACCCAGAAAAAGCTCCTGCCTCTTGGCTTCGGCCTGGCCCAGCCCCAATCATTTGGCCATTTGGAGAGTGAACCAGTGGATGAAGATTTCTCTCTCTCTCTCTCCTTCCTCCCTCCCTCCTTTCCTTTCTTCCTTCCTTCTCGGTAACTCTGACTTTCAAATAAATAAATCAATCCTAAAAAAAAATTTCTAGGGAGAGGCTAATGCTGCTAGTTTGGGGACCCTATTTTAGAAACCCCTGCTTTGGAGATAATATCTGGAGGATCCCCAAGGACAAAGAAGTGATGATCCATTGGGTCCCTTTTATCTGAAAGAATAGTTATTGGAAGATAATAGCCACTGGCTCTTGAGTCTATACCCTTGGTATCCTTCAAGAACCAGAGTGAGTACCATTCATCAGCATTTTATCACAGTGGGCAGAGCACCAAACACCTTTTTGGATTTGTGCTTCTTGTCTATGAAATTAGGGGGGTTGAACTAATGCTTTCTGCCTTCTTGAAAATTTTGTGAGCTTTCTTTGAAAAGAATATTTCTTTAAACTTAGTGCAATATTTTATTTATTTATTTTAAAGATTTTATTTATTTATTTGAGAGGTAGAGACAGAGGGAGAGACAGAAAGGTCTTCTATCTGCTGGTTCATTCCCCACAAATAACCGCAATGGCTGGAGCTGAGCTGATAGGAGCCCGGAGCTTCTTCCAGGGCTCCCACGTGGGTACAGGGGCCCAAGCACTTGGGCCATCCTCCACTGCCCTCCCAGGCCTTAGCAGAGAGCTGGGTCAGAAGGAGAAGACTCGGGACTAGAACTAGCACTCATGGGATGCGGGCGTCACAAATAGAGGCTTAGCCTACTGCACCACAGTGCTGGCCCCGAGCTCAATGTTTTAATTGTGGGGGTTATAAACAGTTGAAAAAAAGAATAAATTTAAAAGAAACTGTGATGTATTTCATGAAATTTTTAAAAAATAAACATAATAAAGTATTTCCATTTTAAAGATTTATTTATTTATTTGAAAGGCGGAGTTAGAGAGAAATCTTCCATCTTCTTTCATCACTCCCTAAATGACCACAGTGGTTAGGGCTAGGCCAATTTGAAACTGGAGCCAGGGGGCCAGCGCTGTGGTGCAGCAGGATAACGCCCTGGCCTGAAGCACTGGCATCCCATATGAGTGCTGGTTTGAGACCCGGCTGCTCTACTTCTGATCTAGCTCTGTGCTATGGCCTGGGAGAGCTGTGGATCCTGGCTCCTAGCTTCGGATCGGCGCAGCTCTGGCCATTGCGGTCAAGTGGGGAGTGAACCATCAGATGGAAGACCTCTATCTCTCTCTCTCTCTGCCTCTCCACTCTGTGTAACTCTGACTTTCAAATAAAAATAAAATAAATCTTTAAAAAAAAAACAAAACTGGAGCCAGGAACTTCATCTGGCTCTCCCATGTGGGTGGCAGGGACCCAAGTCCCTGAACCATCTTCCACTGCTTTTACAGGCCATTAAGAGGGATCTGGATCAGAAGAGGAGTAGCTGGGGCACAGACTGGCACCCATATGGGGTGGCAGTGCCCCAAGTGGAGGCTTAGCCCACTATGCCACAGTGCTGGCCCCAAAGCTTTTTTTTTTTTTTAAAGATGTCTTTGTATGCATTTATTTGAAAGGCAGAGTTAGAGAGAGAGAGATATTGAGAAATTTTCCATCTGCTGTTTATTCCCCAAATGGCTACAGTGGCCAGGGCTGGGCCAGGCCAAAGTCAGGAACCAGGAACTCCATCATGGTCTTTGTGTGGGTGGCAGGGGCCCACATTCTAGAGCCACCTTCTGCTGTTTTCCTTGGTGCATTAGCAGGGAGCTGGATAGGAAATGGAGCAGCCAGGACTTAAATATGGGATTCTGGTGTCACAGGTGTGTGTGTGTGAGAGAGAGAGCGCGCGCATACTAGGTTGCAATGTAAAAAGGGTTATCTGCAATTAAAAACGCTTGCAGAGCCAGCATGTTACAGCACAGTGGGTTAAGCTGCTGTTTGCAGTGCCAGCCAGTATCCCACATCAGAATGCCAGTTTAAATGAATTGATGATCTCCGTCTCTCCCTCCCTCTCTGTCACTCTGCCTTTCAAATAAATAATCTTTTTAAAAAAAAATACTTGCAAGTCCTTTGTTTTAGAAGATGGAAGTCAGCCTGCTGTCAAGTTAACTTTAGGAAAGAGAGACTGGGAACAGTGTGGGAGGGAGACAGGCCCTGCTGTATTCCCTTATGTTGCTCTTGAAATTTGGGCTGTGTCTGTGTTTTTCTGTTTGAAAAAATGTGATTTGAGTTCCAACATTGTTGTCTTTAGAAACCATGACCCTGAGATAGCTAAGGCCCAATTTAGTACTTAACAGAGTGTGTTGTGTCTGGTAGGCACCCAATAAATATTTCTTCTAGTTGAGGTGGGAAAATGAAAAGAATTACCAAATAATTTTCTTCTGGTATATTTATGGCAAGCCCTTATGAAAAAGGTAGGACTTCAGTTAATTTCTGTACAAATGCAGATTAAATAAATGGAAGAGAATAAGAAGGGCTCTGGGGATAGAAGAAGAAATTCAAGCAGAGACAAAAGATTGAAATGAGCCAAGGATATGACTAGAGACTCAGGTGCTTGGGAAGGAAAGGTGTATCTCAAAAAGGAATTATTGAAAATATAGCCTAGTACCATAATTGCACCCAGAATAACTGGTCATAGTCCTTACTATCAAGTTCAAATTTTCCTGATAACCTACAGATTTTTTTAGTTGGTTTATTTGAATCAGGATCCAAATAAGATCCAGGCATTGAGGTTCATTCATACTGCCCCCTTTTTTTTTTTTTTTTAAAGCCAGGAGCTTCATCTAGATCTCCCCTTATGGGTTCAGAGCCCCAGGTACTTGGGCTATCCTCTGCTGCTTTCCCAGGTGCATTAGGAGGGAGCTAGATCAGAAGGGGAACAACTGGGACTCAAACTGGTGCCCATATGGGATGCTGATGTTGCCTGTGGAGGCTTAACCTACTGTGCCACAACGCAGCCCCCAAATTAAGAACTTTAAATGGCAAACACTGGGGATGTGTGTTAAGGGTCCTCACGACTACCCTCATGTTTGAAGATTTGCTGGAAGTACTGACAGGACTCTGTATGTAGTAACATTTCTTAGCCAGGATTTTTGACAATAACATAGTAGAGCTACACAGCTGGATCGTAAGTAAAAAAGACTCAGGAGGAGTCTATGGGAGGCTTCCGTGCCTGGCAGCAAAATGCAGCAGCAATACGTGTGCCATGTTTCTACCTGAGAAGGCCAGTTAGAGACTCAGCACCCAGAATTTTTATTGGGAGCTGGTCAATAGCACTTTCTGCTTAGCACACAGCAAATTCCAGACATCTGAAGGAAAACCTGTACTTAGCATAAACCACGTTGCTTGCATAGTCTGGACACGGGGAGCCACCGTTATCCGTTAACTGTTGACTGGGAGCCAGATGGGCCGAGGGTCAGCCTTGCAAGCAGGACTTTCCCTGAATAGCAGTCTCCCAGGCCTTCAGCGGGAGCTGTTTCTGAGCAGGGTAAAGACTGGGCACTCCCTGCTTCAGAATTGGATCGTGATGATTCTGTAGCCCTGGATGTGGAGGTGGTGTGAATAATTTGAATAGCCTCATGTTGGCTGTTTTTCTTTTCCAGAATGGCTTCGACTACATGTTAACGTACAGTGACAATCCCCAGACCGTGTTCCCTCGCTACTGTGTTAGTTGGATGGTTTCCAGTGGTGAGTAGTGACATACACACAAGACCTGTAACCAGAGCTGAGCGTTTTGTTTTTCTCCATCTTAATGGCAGCACAAGGATTAATACTTGTCTCACTGGCGCTCTGTTGAGGAAATTGACAGTGCCTCTCAATTCATTCTTTTTTTAAAGATTTATTCTATTTTATTTTTTAAAGATGTATTTATTTGAAAGTCAGAATTACATAGAGAGAGAGGAGAGGCAGAGAGAGAGAGAGAGATCTTCCATCCAATGGTTCACTCCCTAATTGGCCACAATGGCCGGAGCTGTGCTGATCTGAAGCCAAGGGCCAGGAGCTTCTTCCACGTCTCCTATGCAGGTGCAGGGGTCCAAGGACTTGGGCCATCCTCCACTGCTTTCCCAGGCCACAGCAGAGAGCTGGATCGGAAGTGGAGCAGCTGGGACCAGAATCAGCACCCATATGGGATGCTGGTGCTTCAGACCTGGGCGTTAACTCACTGCACCACAGCGCCGGCCCCTAAAGATTTATTTTATTTATTTGAAAGAGTTACAGAGAGAAGTAGAGACAGAGAGAGAGGTCTTCCATCTGCTGGTTCACTCCCCAGCTGGCCACAACTGCTGGAGCTGCGCTGATCTGAAACCAGGAGCCAGGAGCTGCTTCTGGGTCTCCTATGTGGGTGCAGGGGCCCAAGGACTTGGGCCATCTTCTCCTGCTTTCCCAGGCCACAGCAGAGAGCTGGATTGGAAGAGGAGCAGCCGGGAACTAGAACCATATGGGATGCCGTCGCTTCAGGCCAGGGCATTAACCCACTGCACCACAGCGCCGGCCCCCCCTTTATTTGAAAAACAAAGTTAGAGAGGGAGATCAGAGAAGGGGCTTCCATATGCTGGTTCTCTTCCCAAATGGCCACAACAGCCAGGAATGGGCCAGGCTGAAGCCAGGAGCCAGGAGCTTTTTTTGGATCTCCCACATGGATTTAGGGGGCCCTAGTACTTGGGCCATCCTCCACTGTTTTCCCAGGTGCATTAGCAGATAGCTGGATCAGAAGTGGAGCAGCTAGGACTCAAGCTGGCACCCATAATGGAATGCTAGCACTGTAGGCGGCAGCTTAATCCACTGCGCCACAGTGCCATCCCCCTCAACTCATTCTTGAATACTACAAAGATGTCATGCCTCTGGGTGAGATTTTAAGGCATGAAAAGTACAGGGTTCCAGGATGGAGCTTGTGCCTGGAGGTTGGTCTCTCTCTTTTTTTTTTTAATTTCCCCCAAGATTTATTTATTTTAAAAAGAGTTACAGAGAGAGAAATCTTCCATCTGCTGGTTTACTCCCTAGATGGCTTCAAGTGCCAGGGCAGGGCCAGGCTGAAGCCAGGAGCTTGATCTAGATCTCCCACATAGCTGGCAGAAGCCCAAACACTTGGGCATCTTCTGCTTTTCTTAGGTCATTAGCAGGGAGCTGGATGGAAGTGACGCAGCCAGGACTGGAACCGTTGCCCCTATGGGATGCCAGTGTCATAGGTGGCAGCTTCACTTGGCATGCCACAGTGCTTCCACCCCCCCAACACAGGAGTTATTAAAACATTTGCTTTGGTGCTTTAAATAAAAACTGTTTACATTGATACATTTAAAACTCTTCTTTGATACTGTTTAAGATCTAGGGTGGAGAATGTGGTGATTGTAGGTCAGTCACCTAGGAAAAGGGGCTCCCACCTATCTTAACAAAGGCTGTATGTCACAGCTGAACCTGCATCTTCCCCTTCCAACTCCTTGTCTTTGAAAGAACCCCCGTAGGATTTCCTTTCTTCGCTATAGGCAGTTTCTTATACCTCAGGGGAGATGAGAGATTAATTAGTTTGGTTTGACATTTGTCTAAATAGAATTGGTAGCTATTTCAGCTAGCCACTGTTGGGTCATTTTCATCGCCTGAAAGAGAGCCTTTGGGGGCCTAAATGGTCTGATCAGTATTCCTTTCCTCTCTCCTTTTTTTTTTTTTTTTTTTTTAAGATTTATTTATTTGAAAAGTAGAGTTACAGAGAGGGAGAGACAGAGACAGAGAGCAGTCTTCCATCTGCTGGTTCACTCCCCAAATGGCTGCAACGGCCAGAGCTGTGCCGATCTGAAGCCAGGAGCTTCTTCCAGGTCTCCCATGTGGGTGCAGGGGCCCAAGGACTTGGGCCATACTTTGCTGCTTTCCCAGGTGTACCAGCAGGGAGCTGGATTGGAATTACCAGTGCCCACATGGCATGCCGGCGCTGCAGGTGGCAGTTTAACCCACTACACCACAGCTCCAGCCCTAGTACCCCTTTTTCAAAGGATCATAGGTTGATTTTTTTTGCAATCCACACATAGGAACTCATTCTGGAACACAGCTGTTGCTCAGAGTTGTCATTCAGGCTGGGGTCTCTATAAGGAAAAACTGGCTGTGTTTCATCAAAGACGTTGGGCCCTGATTTTGAGCCTACTGCTGTTTTGCATATCAGCTTAACCAGATTCCCCTGTCTCCTGACAGGCATGCCAGATTTCCTGGAGAAGCTGCACATGGCCACGCTGAAAGCCAAGAACATGGAGATCAAAGTGAAGGACTACATCTCTGCTAAACCTCTGGAAATGAGTAGTGAAGCCAAGGCCACGGCTCAGTCCCCCGAGCGGAAGAATGAGGGTAGCTGTGGCCCTGCTCGGATCGAGTATGCCTGAAGGGCTTTGGGCTGAGAAAGAACAGGTGCTTCTAGCCCTGTCTCAGTCCTCCGTCACTCTGTCACAGACTGGGGACAAGCCGCATCTATTAGAAGACATTTGCTGTAACCACCAGTGAGAGAGAATTTAATAACCGGTGTCTGATTTCATTCGGAGCCGTTACTGCTCTTTATCAAAATGGAGAGAAGGCGGCAGCACCCAGGAAGGCGTTGTCATGCTCTCAGGCCAACCATGTTGAAAGTCAGTGTTGCACTGGGCTAATCTGGAACAAACCTCTCACCTCAGGCCAGAAGGGAACGCCTTGTCTCTGCTTCCTCCGAAGTTCCTCCGCTGACATTCCGAATCCCACCATCAGTTATGCGAGTTTGGGTTTCCTTCAGTTCTGCGGGTGCACCTGGGAAGTGTAGTTGGCCAGGGATCACTGGGGTGCTCTTGGTAACAGTCTTAGTGTGAATGGGTGTGAGCGTTACTTGGCGGTGTTAAGTGCCTTGTCTTTACCTTGCTTTTGTTTTAGGGACATGGAGTTTGTACAGAGAAATTTCTTTCCTGCCTGCAAAATTCTACCCCATTGTCTCTCTCGTCTTACCCAAAGTAATTTCCTTGGGGTCAGCAAGTTCCTCTGTGTCCGTGTCCTGTGTTCATGAGATCATTGCCCCTTTCCTCATCTCACTGTTTACCAAGAGCACTGGAGAGGAACCCTAGGGGACAGTGGCTTTCTATCTCATTAGTGTTTTGATAGGGTCAGTGGAGAGTCTCAAAACACACTAACATTTTAATCTTTTAAACTTGTGTCAAAAATGAGGCGTTGCGGAGCTGATAGGAATTTCTCCATAGTCCCACTGTATATAAAGCACACTTTGATCCAGTCATTATTTTCCATACACAGGTTTGACTTGTCCTCTTGGGAAGACTAAAGGCAGAGGAATGGGTGCTGGGCCACCCGCTCCGAGTTCTCAGAACTGTAGACAAGCTGTGTGAACAAGTAGATGTAATCTTGCCCCAAATACTGATATAGTGGGGATGCGGTTTAAATGACCCTCTTGTTCCTCTAAAATGTTTTTCGTTGTCTCTTTCCAGCTAAAGTAAAAGCAGACCGTGCTATTCAGAAAAGCTCACGAACAGCCTGGCTGGGCTGGTTTTGCGTTGGTCATGCTGCAGCCTGTTGGGAGAATGGGGATCAAGTGTCACCATTTAAGTCTTCTTCCTCCCTGTTTCCTGGAGTGTAAATATTTAGCTAAATTTTTCCATCTTTTTCCCCCTGCTTGCTCTCCTTTTGTGGTGTTAAAAGGGATCTAAACTTGAGACTAATTTAAACCCCACCTTGACCTTCTTCTTGCCTATTCAGTTTTGTGCCAAGGAATAACTGCCCCGGGGTTTCATGACGTCTCTGGGTCATTGGCAGAACAGAGAGATGTGTCGAGCAGTTCCAGCTCCAGCTTCTTTTCATTAATCATTTTCTCTTCTTCCCAGGACCCGACATGCCAGGGAAGAGGGACTCCCTGGTTTATGTCCGAACTTAGCACCTGTAATTGTGTATGGGTGTGTGCAGGAGAGGGTGTGTGTGTGTGTGTGTGTGTGTGTGTGTGTGTGTGTATTTGCGCGTCTGTATGCACAGGTGCTAAGGAGTTGTGGTGGTTCCATGTTCTGACTTAAAGGCAGTTTGACTCTGCACGAGGGGTCTGTCTGTACAGTTCCTTACGTCATTGGAATTTCACTCCTAACTCTGACATTTTTATCAGGTGTGAATAAAATTACAAAGATTGATACAAAAAAGTGTTTTTGGACAAATGGTGGTAGGAAAATCTTACTAGTGATAATGAGCTTATCATTTCTTCCTGATTACAACGCTGAGAAGGAGTGTTTCTCTGAGAGTTGGCAGGGGGCAGCAGTGGGGCTTGTGCTTCCTTGGTGGGTGGGGGCTGACACACACTGCTACACTGTGAGCTCTTTGCAGGTAACTCTGGCAACTGAAAGTAAACCCTCTGTTTCCAGTTGTAGGTCTTTTGTTGTTGTTGTTTAGATTTATTTATTGTTTATTTGAAAGGCAGAGTTACAGAGAGAGCAGAGACAGAGAGATCTTCCATCCATTGGTTCACTCCCCAAATGACCACAATGGCTAGGACTGGGTCAGACTGAAGCCAGGACCCAGGAGCTTCATCCAGGTCTCCCATGTCGGTGCAGGAGCCCAAGCACTTGGCCCATCTGTTTTCCCAGGCACATTAGCAGGGAGCTGGATCAGAAGTGGATTAACTGAAACTTTTTTTAATTTTTATTTATTTTTTGACAGAGTGGACAGTGAGAGAGAGAGAGAAAGGTCTTCCTTTTGCCGTTGGTTCACCCTCCAGTGGCTGCCGCGGCCGGCACTGATCCAATGGCAGGAGCCAGGTGCTTTTCCTGGTCTCCCATGGGGTGCAGGGCCCAAGCACTTGGGCCATCCTCCACTGCCTTCCCGGGCCACAGCAGAGAGCTGGCCTGGAAGAGGGGCAACCGGGACAGAATCTGGCGCCCCGACCAGGGCTAGAACCCCGTGTGCCGGCGCCGCTAGGCGGAGGATTAGCCTAGTGAGCTGCGGCGCTGGCCTAACTGGAACTTGATAACCGCAACTTGAACTGTTTTCCGTATGGGATATGTTTTTTTTTTTTTTTAATTTATTTATTTGAAAGAGTTACACACAGAGAGAAGGAGAGGCAGAGAGAGAGAGGTCCTCCATCTGCTGGTTCACTCCCCAGATGGCCACAGTGTCCGGAGCTGTGCTGATCAGGAGCCAGGAGCTTCCTCTGGGTCTCCCAGAAGAAGGGTGCAGGGGCCCAAGGACTTGGGCCATCTTCTGCTGCTTTCCCAGGCCACAGCAGAGAGCTGGATAGGAAGTGGAGCAGCCAGGACTCCAAACTGGTGATCATATGGGATGCTGGCACTGCAGGTGGCGGGTTTACCCGCTACGCCACAGTGCCGGCCCCATGGGATGCAGGTGTTGCAGGCGGAAGCCTCACCCGCTACGCCACAGCGCTGGCTCCCTACTTGTGGGTTTTGATCTACTAATCCATATCCTTTGCTTCTAAAGAAGGATCCAGTTGTAGGAAACAGTGCTAGAGCTTTGTGGGAAAGACCAGGCGAGACAGGAAGGAGCAAGTGCAGTGTGTGGAGCCCAGGAGAGCCAGCTCAGCATCTGAGAGGCCTGGGAGGAGGGGGCTGCGCATGGGCAGTTCTGCTAGATGCATTTATCCCGAGAGGACTGACAGTAGAGAGTGCTCTGAGCATAGGCTGAGTTTTGAGCTTGTGTGTTTTGCCTGTGGGAAACACTGGACACATAGCAGCATACCTAGCTGAGCCAAGCCTCCCCTGAGGCACACACACCTTGATTCTGAGGTCAGGGAACCACCCCTCCATCACAGTTGCTGTCTTTCCAGTGACCCCAGTCCTGGGCCTGCCCTGCACCCCCTCCCTAGTCCCCTTTCTTCTCAGTCTGCTCAGATTTTCCGCTCCACACCTCTCACTTTGTCTTATCTCTCATTCTCTCCCTCGCCACACAGGGTGGTGGGTGTGGGAGCCAAGGGGTGGGCCAGCAGACTCCGGCAAGTGAACTGCAGGTGTTTTTCAAGGCAAAGTGCTTGCCTGTCGATTTCTCACCCATCTGACCTACATGAAACTGCTACCCTCTTTATGTGTCACAAAGTTTGAAAGTTGGGCACCTACGCCCTCTTCTCCACAAGCCCTGGGTGTGGTTTTTGTGTAGTGCAGTTACTTGGGAGCACGTGTCGTGTTCCAGCCTTGCCGCCCGTGCTATGAACAGGAACACCGTGTGGCGGAAATGCAGGGTTGCTTTCAAGCCAGTGTGGGCTTAGCCATCACATAATTCAGTGTGGTGGCTGTGGGTTGACTGTTGCCATGGGGGTTTTGTTTGGATAAATTACCTATGTATTGAAAAGGTGAATTTTCAAAAGCTGCCCTGCCCTTACTGGTCGGTAACACTTTGGTGTGTGTTTTCTCTTTCTAGGTAAAACTTTTTCACGATCCTTGGAAAGCAAGTTGTTAGCATCACTGTCTCACCTCCTCTAAACTCTGGAGCATACATTTTTTGTTTGTTTCTAAGATTTATTTGTTTTAAAAGAATTAGAGGAAGAGACCAATCTTCCCCTCTGGTTCACTCCCCAGATGGCCGCAACAGCAAGGGCTAAGCCAGGCCAAAGCCAGGAGCTTCATCCGGGTCTCCCACGTGGGTGGCAGAGGCTCAGACACCTGAGCCCTCTTCCTCTGCTTTTCTCAGGTTATTAGAAGGGAGCTGGATAGGAAGCAGAGCAGTTGGGACACGAATTAGCCCCCACATGGGATGCTGGCATCACAGACAGTGGCTTAACCTGCTATGCCACAATGCCAGCCCCTGGAGCATGGTTTTGTTTTATAGATTTACTTATTTTACTTGAAAGGCAGAGTTATGAAAAGGCAGAGGGAGATGTCTTCCATCCACTGGTTCACTCCCCAAATGACCACAATTGCCAGAGCTGTGTGGATCTGAAGCCAGGAGCCAGGAGCTTCTTCCAGGTCTCCCATGTGGGTGCAGGGGCCCAAGGACTTGGGCCATCTTCCACTGCCTTTCCCAGGCCACAGCCGAGAGCTAGATTGGAAGTGGAGCAGCTGGGGCTTAAACTGGCCCCCATATGGGATGCTGGCACTGCAGGTGGTGGCTTTACCCGCTACACCAAAACCCTAGCCCTAGCCCCAGTGCTGTTTTTTAAAATGTTTTCCTGCATGACCACAGTGCCACTAGTACACAAGATAAGTAACAATGTTACAGTGTCTGATAATGCCATTCACCTGAAAATTTCTCTTGTTGCCTCGCACTTGACTTCCATAGTCCCCGCAAATCCAGGGTCCAATAATTACATGTTGTATGTTTTTGGCTTAGTTTTGCTCAATATGTAGTTCTTAGACATTCTTATGTGAAACAGCGCAGTATTTCAACACATAATATACAGCATAAACTGATCAAATCAGTTAATTAGCATTTTCATTTCCTTTTCTTTGAGTCTAGGAGTGCTTGTTCTATATAAATATAAACATTGTGAACTGTAGTTGGTCCACTCTGCTATGGAACCCACTTGTATGTATGTATTTTTAGTAAGAGAGAGCTGTCACCTTCAGCTTTATCACCTGAAATGCCTGTGATGCTGTGGGGAGCCTGGGGCAGAAGCTGAGAACTGGGAACACAATCCAGGTTTCCCGCATGGGTGACAGGAACCCGGGTCTGAGTCATCACTTCTGCTTCCCTGAACCTGCGTTTGCAGGAAGCTGGGGTCAGGATGTGGCATCGCAAGTGACGTGTTAACTGCTAGGCCAAACACCTGCCCGACTCTTCGACTAAACCTGGCCTGCCCTTTGTAACGCAGCTTCACCTGTGCTTCATACAATGTCCACATCGTCCAGTGGTTCTCAAACTGGGCTGTGCCTGGGAACATTGCACGTTCCCAAAGTGTGGTTACCCTCATTTGGCATTGGAGTTTTTTTGTGAAAAAATTTCCATTTTTTATTTGAAACAGATCTTTGATCTGCTGGTTCACTTTCCAAATGCCTGCAACACACGGGATTGGACCAAGCTGAAAGGCAGAGAGAAGAGGGAGAGACAGAGAGAGAGGTCTTCCATCTACTGGTTCACTCTCCAAATGACCGCAATGGCCAGGGCTGGGCCAGCCAGGAGCTTCTTCCAGGTCTCCTATGTTGGTAGCAGGGGCCCAAGCACTTGGGTAATCTACTGGTTTCCCAGGGGCATTAGCGGGAAGCTGGATCGGAAGAGGAACAGCTGGGACTCGAACCAGCACCCAAAAGGGCCACAGCAGAGAACTGGACTGGAAGAGGAGCAACCGGGTCTAGTACCTGGCGCCCCAACTGGGACTAGAACCCAGGGTGCTGGTGCTGCAGGCAGAGGATTAGCCAAGTGAACCACGACGCCAGCAGCGGAGGATGGCCCAGGTGATTGGGTCCCTGTGCCCACATGGGAGACCGGGAGGAAGCACCCAGCTCCTGGCTTTGGATTGGTGCAGCGCCGGCTATAGCAGCTATTAGGAGAGTGAAGGAAGACCTTTCTGTCTGTCTGTCTCTCGCTCTCTCGCTGTCTATAACTCTGTCAAAGAAAAAAAAAGTCTCCCATGTGAATGACAGGTACTCAGTATTGAGCCACCATCTGTTTCCTCCCAGGTGCACTAGCAGGGAGCTGGATTGGAAGCAGAAGCAAGACTTGCAGGCACTGTGATACAGGATGGGATGTGGGCATCCCCAGTGCTGGGTACCCTGTGGCCCAACACCTACTGCCATCAGACTTTCTGAGGGATGAGTCACAGCACATGGTGTGAAAGTGTTAGCTGTAGAATGTGTTCGGAGGGAGACAGTGGAAGGGTGGCAGTCTCCTTAGAGGTGCAGAGCTTCCGTCGAGCTCAGGATTAGCCAATAATAGCAGCCCTTACGAAGCACTTGCACAAGGACTGAGGTTCGTGCACTCATCTAACAGCCCCGTGGATGTGTAGCAGCCAGCCTTGTTTCACGGATGAGGGCATCAGAGGCGAAGACGTGTGCTTGCTCCAGCTCCACAGGAAGTGAACTAGGATGCAGGTCTAGCTTTAACCTCTCCCAAGGCACTTCATAGCATGGCTTACAACTTAGGGTGGTGTCTCATAAATGCAACGCTGAACTCCTTCCCTTAGTGCAGTTGGCTTGTTCTCAAGCTCGGATCATAGACTTCATCCGTGTTAAATCTTACGTTTCTCCCCAGGGGCCCCCCACCC